AGTATCTCCATGTTTATGGAAGCAGTAATAGTGCTTTCCTCGAGCAATGAGGGATTAGAAGACTTTGGTCCCAAAAACCTCTACTACGATCGCTCAACAGTTAGTCATGTTCATGGGTTCATTATCCAATACGATCGAAGTACTTTTAGGAAGTGAGAGTTCGATACTACTAGAAAAATACATGCTCTTCACAGTTAAATCCGTGTCTTTGTTCTTCTGCCCTAGAGTTACGTGAAATCCTCATCACCGTGTGGACCAGACCCTGTTCTTCATTCTCACCAATCATTTTAACACGGACGGCGGTGAATATCAGTAGAACAAGATGGGTGCGTCTTTGCCTATTTGGACCCTGAGACGCGGAGACGTTGCTAGATAAAGATTGAGACAGGTCTTGAATGGGGACTGTTCTTGTTACTAAGCAATTAGTCGTTTTGTCTAGTGGAGTCCCGCCGGCTGACCAAGGAGGACTACGAGTTCTTGACTCTGATTGTTCAGCTGTAACACCCTTCCGGTGCACCCCAAGGAACCACTAGGCTGAGGTACTGTCACGTTGCCCAAGCCTAAACTGGAGCGATTGAGATGCAAGGACGGGTTCGAATCACGAACTTTCCTTTTAGGAAGTTCTTACGTTGTCCACTGGGCTCCATAAGTTGCGCTGACTTGGTCACGTGCTCCGTATGTCAACTGACCAAATACCTCGAAGGGGGCAAGATGGTTTAGTGGTCGGAGCGCGAATTCATTGACCAGAAGGTCCGTGGTTCGAGTCCGGCCTCTGGGTCTCGACGTCCCCGTCTAGGCTTGGGCAATCTGGCAGTATCCAAGCTCTCGTACTTCCTTCGGGTGGTATGGCAGCTAGGAACCGAAAGGGTTTTACGGCTGAACGATTACTACGATATATATAAACAACACACACTTATCGTCTTCTAAAGAGACCAACAGAATTAGCCGCATGGTTAATGGAATACAGTTAGTTCACCCACTCCTGCATCTACGNGAATTGAACAAACGCCATAACCCGCTGATATACAACATTGACAACGGATGTAATGGACGTAACACTTGGATGCCCGAGGTAACGGGTCTAGGGACTAGCTCAGGTTGTCCATCTCGACTTTCCCGTTTGAAACACAAGGCATGGCAATTTTTGTGGTTAGCAACCTTGGTGTATGCGGTGAAAAACGGTGTTTAGGCTGTTTCTTGCTCTCGTGAAAATTTCATGTTTAGTTTACGAACGTTTGACATTTGGAATCGTCTCCCGTTTTCTTTGTCCGGAATAATGGTGCTCTTTGACCATAATATATACGTATATACATCGTTATGTAACTATCACCTTGTCTTCATGATCCGATGATGATCCTTCAGTCCACGCTGACCTGAACTCGCTTCCTTATGGTCTATTTACGCCGTAAAAGTTAACCGTCGGCAACCCGGCAAAGAGCAGTAGATACTTTATCGCGAGGCGATTTTGGGTTAAAGCCGTATCGTTCACTCTGAGGGGAGGAGGAAAACAGTAAGGTGTTTTTGCAAACGACAAGTATCTCCATGTTTATGGAGGCAGTAATAGCGCCCTCCTCGAGGAATGAGGGATTAGAAGACTTCGGTCCCAAAAACCTCTACTACGATCGCTCAACAGTTAGTCATGTTCATGGGTTCATTATCCAATATGATCGAAGTACTTTTGGGAAGTGGGAGTTCGATACTACTAGAAAAGTACATGCTCTTCACAGTTAAATCTTCTGCCCTAGAGTTACGTGAAATCCCCATCACCATGTGGACCAGACCCTGTTCTTCATTTTCACCAATCATTTTAACAAAGATGGCGGTGACTATCAGTAGAACAAGATGGGTGCGTCTTCGCCTGTTTGGACCTTGAGACGCGGAGACGTTGCTAGATGAAGATTATGAGACAGGCTTGAATGGGGGACTGTTCTTGTTAGTAACCAATTAGTCGTTTTGTCTAGTGGAGTCCCACCGGCTGACCAAGGGGGACTACGAGTTCTTCACTAATTGTTCAGCTGTAACACCCTTCCGGTGCACAGCTGCCATGCCACCCCAAGGAACCACTAGGCTGAGGTACTGTCACGTTGCCCAAGCCTAAACTGGAGCGATTGAGATGCAAGGGCGGGTTCGAATCATGGACTTTCCGGTTAGTAAGTTCGTACGTTGTCCACTGGGCTCCATAAGTTGCGCTGACTTGGTCACGTGCTCCGTATGCCAATTGACCAAATACCTCGAAGGGGGCGAGATGGTTTAGTGTTTGGAGCGCAAATTTATTGACCAGAAGGTCCGTGGTTCGAGTCCGGCCTCTGGGTCTCGACTTCTAGGCTTGGGCAATCTGGCAGTATCCAAGCTCTCGTAGTTCCTTCGGGTGGTATGGCAACTAGGCACCGAAAGGGTTTTACAGCTGAGCGATTACTACGATATAATCAACACACACTTATCGTCTTCTAAAGAGACCAACAGAATTAGCCGCATGGTTAATGGAATACAGTTAGTTCACCCACTCCTGCATCTACGGTGTACTAATGAATAGTCTTTGCGGTGGCAATGTCCCATTGGGTTACCAATGGCTTGAATTTGGTTTTGTCCAAGCCGCCTGTATCTTTTTAGATATTCACAAGCGTCCATTGGTTCGATCGGGAAATTCATCTCGGTTCTAGCCATTCGTGCATATATATTTATGTACACTGCAGAACACTGATGTTGCAGTATTGCTGCTATTGACGAGCACCAGGCTCCCAGTGCTTTGGAAACGACAGACCTTTCGTCGTATTGCAGACGAGGCTCTCAAAGGCTGTGTTGAATTTTTGTTCTCTTTCAGCTCAGTGCGCTGACTCACCCACGGGGCTGCAAACCATTGCTGGGCTATTCAGTAGGGAAATTAAGCAGTGCAGTTAAGCTGTTGCGGGGTCATCAAATGCCTCGATATCCTCCAGACAGGTGAGTGAATATCATGTCCTTTCTCACCCTACTAGACTATAGCATTGACTCAACGTTTTGGTTCTGTTTCATCAGAGACTTTGAATAAAGCCTCAGAGCGAACTAGCTTCCTCACTAGCTTTCTCTGTTCACTTTCCGTTTACGAAACTGTTTGTCGCTCGATACTCCCAGAACAAAGGGTGCTTTCCAGAAAACTAGGACCTATGCGGTAACTTCCAAAGTTTCCCTCGTTTCTCACATACAAGCCTTTTTTTCTGTAAAGATGGCACCTGAATGTCGCTTTTATGTCGCCCTGTACTGCGATACATATAGAGAGGCGTCTTGAATACTCTATGTTGATAGTGTCCAATACGATTATAGACATATTGAATAAGAATATCATGGTGTATCCCTGCCAACAGGCTTCTGAGATCCGGGGACGATAGAACCTCAAAATAGGTCTACCACGTGTTGTGGTTGTTTGTTCGGTTTTCATGCAACATTATGTTTTCGGTTGTACCCATCCATTGTTTGTCACCATGTTTCCTCTAGGTGGGAGGATTACACACCATTGGGAGTTCCTGTGAAAGGGACTCGATTACTTCCCATCAGACTTCCAATACCACTCGTAAGTTTGCACTGTTGTTTCTTATCACAATTTTATCCTAGGATAAATCAAGGTACATTCCTCCTCATCAAAGGTGCTCGCTTTGGTTATCTGATCGACCGAATTCTACTCAATAGGTTTAGTTTTGATGATCT